ACAATTGATCTTATCGCATTCACTCTAGATCTGGTGGGCATGTTCGAGCTGCGCGCAGTCGCGATGCGTGCGTTCAGGAAAACCAGGTGCAATACAGCGTCACCGATCAATACTGAGGCAGCCCACGCGTCATTTAGAAATTTTCGTTCCATTTTCTACTTTTCTTACTCCTGACTTCTTGGTGTTTTTTTTCGATATAGCACAGAAAAGGGGCTCGATTAGTCTGATAAATTTAATGCTCTAAACTGCAGTATATTGCGTAATTATCGAATAATATATTACATAACGTATGGATTTTGGACTTGTCGTGTTGTGAAAATTTCACTTTTCTATGTGGTGAATACTTAAATTGTTCATGTACATCTTTTTGGTTCAGCAGTTATTGTCGTCAATCAATAAATAATCTTGTCCTCCCCTTCTCTGTTAATGGTTTTGTGGTTTTGCACCCACTTTATTTTTTTCTGAGTAAAACGAGTAATATTTAGCTTCTAGATACCGCGTTACAGATTGCTCTCCAAATCATTTCGAGATTCATCGGGCACCTTTTCAGCCTGTGCCGCAAGTTTTTGATGTTCTGGACATCATGTTTCAGAGGAAGTGAGAGCGGAAGAGAGCCAATCCCTCAAGTTCTATTTATTTTGGACATGTGACTGTTCTGAACGATGGCGAATTGTGACGAAATTTATAAATTTTAATAAGTTTGTTTGCTCTAAACTTAGTTTCAATTCGGTATACCGCGAAGCCTCGTGCATTTAAATTATTCGAAGCGGCATGACAAGCACCTAATTTCATCTATGGACATGATCGCAATGCTGGAAATATCTTCCAGTGATCACTTACACCTGGCCCCACCAAATTGGCTTCCCCGAAAAGGGCGCCAATCCCGCGCCGCGACCGCTCGCGTAGTCTAAATAGGCCTCTATCCTTCCGCGTCGAATAAAATTAGTGCTAATCCACATCTCTTTTTTTTGCTTCACAGTGTAGATGTGTAAAAGGAGTGAATTACAGGAGCCATTTTCCTCTGATCAAATTCCACCGCTTTTCGTGCCGCCTTCAATATCTGTGACTCCCCCTCCTTCGCAGCAGCTTACTTCAGACTTTACCGATCAATTGAAGGTAGATTCACTCCTTTGTGGATGACAACTTTTCTGAAGAACTAATATCTTACTCTAGTCGATTCTCGACGTTGTGATCGACGCTGCTGAGAGTCAGAGTAGTGGCAATTTCTTCAATATCAAGGGTAATTATGAAACTCCGTGCCGTTCCGATTACATGGCCATCCCATCTACGTCTTCTGGTTCTTATTTGAGCGATTGTCAAGGGTAAGTGCTATCCCGTTTAGTTTCTAAATTTTGGAGAAATATCGATCACGTCGAGAAACGGGGAAGTTTCACCATCACTCGTCACTGACGTATTTCTAA